GTGAGCGAACCAGCCATCCCTATGTGGGATCCGAACCCGGGGCCTTGGTGTTATCAGCACCGCACTCTACCGAGTGAGCCACGGGCCGGCCCAAGAAATGGCAGATCTAAAGCAAACAGATTCTCCCCCAGCCTTCTATTTGACATCCCCACCTCTCCTGGACCTCACCACTGGGGAGAAGCCAGCCAGCTCTGCCTCACTTTCACTCTCTGTCTCTGCTAATGGCTCATCACCTCCTGGGGGTGCGCTCTTCCCTTGCCGCTCTAGAGAAACAAGAGCAACAGAACAGTGACCAACAGGGACAACGATATGGGACAGACATGACCAAAGAACTGGAGATCTAAATTCCAGGGCATTTCACAAACCATAAGCCAAGGCCCTCCTTGGCATTTTCACCCTCCTGGGTTAAGGAAGCCACTTACTCCTCTTGTCGTGTTTGTGATGCAGGGCATCAGCTTCTGCCTTCATGCTGTAGTCCAGCTGCATGAGCAGGGGCTCAAGGCGTGTGTACATCCTCTGGATCAGCTCATGATAAACCACCAGGGGCCACAGCAGGATACTCAGCACTATAGGTTAGAAAGCCCACTGAGAGCTCCCTATGCCATTTCCTGAGGGCTCTTATTCAACTAGTCCCTAAATAGGAAGGGCTGAAGGCAAACGAAGTTGTTTCCCAAGGCTGTGCCAACCTGTTCCCTCCACATCCACTGCCCTCCTCCCAGGATGACTCTTCCACTGTTACTAACACTACAGCATTCCTGGAAACCACTACAAATCGGTAACTGAGTGAGAGCACTGTCTTCCCTCTGAGTCAGTCCAAGAAAAGAGAAAAAGGAGAGGGCTTTGGGAAGGGAAGGACTAAACCCTACTCACGGACTATGTAGGAAATCATAATTCCTGGAACATAGTGTCCCAGCACCGCCAGCACAGCACAGCCAGAACACACTCGAGCACAGAACTGCAAAGGAGAGCACAGAGTCTAAGAAGAACAGTGGGCTGAGATATTCCCGCTCATCTGGGTAAGAAACTACTGCTCAGCCGATGGAAGGAAAATATGTGCAGTAGGAATGCGATGATCCAGTCTAGGCAAGTAGTGCCCAAAACCACCAACTCAGGAGATTTGCAGGAGACACTATCAAACACTGTTCTGCCTTGGCAGGAGACAGTGACAGAACATCAGGAGCTTATTCCCTGAAGAGAGGCCTGCTTCTTGTATCAGGGACTAGCTGTCAATGTTGCCTCAAGAAAGCACCCAGGCCTCTTTCTTTAGGGTCTCCAACCAGGGAGTTCACATCACTCCTTCCCCCCATCTTTCCACTGCTACTCCCCTATGGGGCAGGGAACTATTATATCACATAGGAGAGGTTACCTGAGCTGGATTCTGCCTCTTGTACTGCAGCAGTTCCTGCAGGTGGATCTGGAAGGTGAGCCAGCTCTCAGCCAGGTATCTGCACAACTCAGGCACACTGAGCAGGTGCGGCCGGGCGCCTGACCCTGCGCCCTCACTGGGGAGACATGACATTATCTCTGGAGGCCTCAGACACCACCTTCCTAGGCAATCAAATCCCTCTGAGAATGCCAATAAGATCTTTAGCCTAAGGAAGCAGACAACCCCACCTCCCAAAAGGAGGCTATCCTGGGAAGTGAACTCCAGAGCACCCAACCCTTTGCCCCAAAAGGAGCAGGCACACAAACACCTATACAGGAGCCTAGGACCAAGCAAACTCCATGGATTGCTACCAGTCCATTCACTTTGCTGGGGCCTGTGCCTGCAGAAGCTGTAGCACTGCCCTGCTCCATTGTGACATCGGCACCAGCAAACAAGACAGGATTTGGGCATTTATCTTCAAGAGATGGCCTGCACTCACCTGTCAGAGTGTGGCTCCTCTGGGGATGATGCTATAGATAGAAGAGGAGGACAAATTATTGAGTGGTAGGGGCCCAGGAAGATACTCCCCAAGGCAGAAATAGTTGCCCTTTCTCTGCAGTGCTAGAGCACTTTCTTCTGTACCAATGGCAAGAAGTATTACACGCTATTGTTTATGTCTTTCTTTAACCTTTAACCTTTTCAAACACAGAAACATCTCATTCATATTTATATCCCAAACAACTCACACACAGCCTGGAAACCAGGTACTCCAAAATGTTTAGTAAGTAATATAGATAAGAAAAGCAACAACGCACTAATAATTACGCACCTTCTATCATCCAAGAACTACCATGAGTGTGTTAACATGCATTAACTCATTTAACCCTCACATCCCTATGAAGTAAATTCTATCGTGTCTGTTTCACAGATAAGGAAACTGAAATAGAGATTGAGCGACTTTCACGAGGTCACATACATGGTAAGTAAGAGAGTAGGGAACCCAGGCGATCTAGCTGCAGACTCCACAATC